TATATTTGATCCAGTTATGATTTTCCCTACCTTTGTGTATTTATAACCGGAAGAAGTGATTTTTCTAATTGTGATAATTGTGCCCCATGTTTTGTTGAGGACTTTGATATTCTAATTTCTTCTTGATAATACATCATTTTTGTAAGCGTATACGGGTACTTATTTTTCGGGATTGTTTAAAGATCACATGCTTTACTGAATCTGAAAATAGTGACCACTGAAAGCTTTGACCCCTTCAAAGGCCTATGGAACTGAAAGTATTTCTTTGTGGTTAATTACTGATAGAAGTTTAAATTGGGAAAAGAACATGCAAGTGGATTACTGGTTTATCATGAATATGATTTTCAATTTGTTGGTGCTACAACAAAAACGTGTCCTTAACTGTAAGAGGAATACTACTTTGTGACTTTGGTTACCGATTTATGATGAATATGATTTTCTTAGCTTATTATCAGGACAATGTTAATTTCACTTGATTATTTCACATTTTCCAGGTCAATCCTTGATTTTGAGTCTTTCCGAAAGCTGGTATCATCTCCAAAATCCTTATTCTGGTATGTAGATAGCTGCTAAGTGCTGCAACTCACTAAGTTTGGCCACATGCCTTCATTGTAGCATATGCCCTTTGTGACAAGTAAGCATTATAATTCCACTTTGTGGATTGATATTAAGTTGGGTTATGGAATAATATAAGGTCGTGTCATGGTTGAACATTTCTACATTCTTTATAGCTAGGGTTATTTTTTTTCTTTGTGAAATTTTGACCTCTTGCTTTTCAGTTAAGAAGCCCCGATTATTGTTGCAATTTTATGGCGTGTCACTAATAAATATTTGTACATTATTTTGATTGACCAATTTTCTAGGAAAATGGCTTTTGTGAATTGTGGTTAGACAGAGTATTTGAATTTTTTTTCCTGTTGAAAATTGCAGGGCACAGTTAATAATTACTTTAGTTTGATTTAGTATTGTGCTTTAGAGTGAAGTTGGAGTGTTGATATATGTGTGAGTAGAGTTGTAAAACAGAGAGAGAAAATGAACTTTAAACAGATGAAGGAAACAAAATTTGAGCAAAAACTTCCAATCTTTAAAATTGTGAGGCTTTTCAGTAGGTGTGTTTTGTAAAAAGGTTTTAATCTTTCTTAGAAATGTAGCTTTCTCAGTTATGCAATGCTTTTAATAGGTGTATTTTTATCTTTTGTGATTGCTGATTTAATTTGGGTTTTGTTAATAGTTTAATTTGGAGTTTAATTGAAGGTTTAATTCAGGTTTGTAGTTGGGGATTAATTGAGGGTTTAACTTTACTTAGCTTAAATTGCAGAATGTGGCTTTAAATTTGAAAGTGTCTTGATTGCTAACGGATCTGCTTTCTTTGCAGATTACAGAAATTTGGATTGTTTGAGGAAAAAGTTGGTTTCATGCTGTTTTGAGGTATATAATTATACGCCATCATTTTTGTTCAAAGCCTACTTAGCTATCTACCTTTTTTTATTTATATTTGTGAAGCTTTCATGGTTAGATTTTAAATATATAATTCAATTTTTGTCGTTTGAGCTTATATTGGAACTGAGTTTCTTTCTATTTAGTGTGCGTATCAGTATTTGCCCATTTATGTCAGGGTTGAGATGACTAGGCATCCATTTGGTCGCTTTACGTTAGAATGGAACTGGGTAATAGATTAGGTTGCAAGATAAATTTCTAAAGTTCTACTAGCTTAGGTACAAATTATTTTTTAGAAATCAAACATGCAAAATTTCTATGCATGTTTTGAAATTGGTTGTAGGAAGTGGGCTTCCAAGTCTTAACAATTATGGAGACTATGAAATCAGGGTAACCAATTAGGGGTAACTATATATTTCAAAAACGCAGATTTTACACACACACACACACACACATACACACACACACATTCTGTCAAGAATCAGTTTTGATTGGCACAGATGAAGATGAACAATAAGAGGGTTTTCTATTCAAATTTACTTTTTGTAATTTTAGGGGTTTTGATCATACATGTGTATTTAATTTGGTTTTGTTTTGAGTTTCAGGAGACTCTGGTTTTTCGTTTTTTGGGTCTTTTCTTTGCAGCCTAGAAAGCCCTCTGTGCTCAAGGTAAACAATTTCAACTTTTTACTTCTAAAGCGTTGCTCTTATTTAGCGGTAGGTATTCCATTGTATACAATAATATGTTTTGTGTTATGGTAGGAACCCTGTTTCCCCTTTTTGTCTTTCTGTGCACTCAGAAAACAAGCCACCCTAATTGAAGCTTTCTATCTTCAGATCACCAGCAATAATCTCACCAAGGTCCCAGGAGGAATCACGAGGATTCACTGCCGAATTGGTATGTACTTATGCTTTTGCAAAAAGCCCTTTTCTTGCCATTTTTCTGTTTTAGAATTGGGACCAAAATGATTATGAGTGATTTTGAAAAACACTGAGATAGAAAAAATGGCTATCAAGCAAGCAGGTTGTGAGTCTTCAAACATGTAATTTTCAGTCAAATGAAATAGTTGGCACCACAAGCTTTTAAGTAGGGAGGGATGTTTGATTATATATTTTTTGGTTTTTATTTTTTCTCCTCAGTTGTTATTTTCCTTTTACTGTATATTGTATCTTCTGTTTGCGAATGCCTCTGTTTTTTTACTTGCTGAGAATGCCTGTCAGGGGTGGCTCAACAGGATCGGGAAATCTGGAGAGGGGCGAGGGGTTAGCAGAGGGGGGATTGGGCATGTAGCATCAGGGCTAGGTTACCAAGATGGTGTTTGGGTGGGTTTGACAGTGGGTCATATGGGGGACGGTGGTGATGCACTCCGAACTCACGAAGGTGCACAAACATTACGAGTGCATCACCATAAAAAAAATTCATATTTAATTGTTATACCCTTCACAGTAAATAATTTCCACATCAGAGTTTTTTGAAACTGAGAAGACACCGGAAACACGATTCGCATAGCAGACTAGCTTATAGATGATATAATAGTCGGATAACAAAGTTCTGAACTGAAGGTTCAGAGAGACTCATTTCTATGTCCAATTATGAAGCATCTTTTGATTTTTATTGATATAAAGACCTTTTCTTTCTCCAATTATGCCTCTGTCAACACTTTTTGGTTTAAATGCACTCAATATGTACTCACATTTATCTAATAGACCAGATGAAAAAAGAGGGAAAATGGATTATATATGCACGAAGGGCACCACAACAAATTGTTTGGGAATTTGAGTTTGGATTGGAATTTAATATCGATATACAAAAGCACTCACCTTAAACACAGAGGAATCAGATGCTTGAGTTAAACAATTAGCTGATCACAAATTGGTAGGGGTTTAATTTGAAGAAATGGCATTTAACACTTTTAATTGACTGAATGCTGAAATTCTCCCTTATGCACCAAATTGGATTCATAAACAGAATCTCATTTTCATGTTCTATTTTCGTTCGGTTAACAGAGGAACTGCAATTTCAATGGATATCATTTTTGTTGCTCTTCCATATATTTTGGTCATTTAGCAAGAATTTTTTAGATTTCCTCTTTTAAATTTGAAAGTGTCTAAGTTGCTAATGGATCTACTTTCTTTGCAGATTACAAAGATTTGGATCATTTGAGGAAGAAGTTGGTTCCATGCTGTTTTGAGGTATATAATTATACGCCTTCATCTTTGTTCAAAGGCTATTTAGCTATCTACCTTTTTTTTTAAATTTTTTTTTATATATTTGTGAGGCTTTCATGCTTAGATTTTAAATATATAATTCAATTTTTGTCGTTTGAGCTTATATTGGAACTGAGTTTCTTTCTATTTAGTGTGCATATCAGTATTTGTCCATTTATGTCACGATTGAGATAACTAAGCATCCATTTGGTCGTTTTACCTTAGAATGGAACTGGGCTTCTTTCTATTTTGTGCACGTATATGTATCTCTCTATTTATGCAAAGCTTGAGATAGCTTAGCATGTATTTGTAACAAACCCTGTTCCAATTGAATGATTGTTGTATTTGTTCCAAACGCCATTTGAATTGGATGATTGGTTTATTTGTTCTAAACCCCATTAGAATTGTATTTGCTTGGATGGGCTATTAGTATAGGGATAGTTAGATTAGGAATTTTGTTTTGCCATTTTGTGATTGAGATCTAATTACAGGTTTTGTGTTGCATGTTTCCGTGTTTCGGTGTCTGTCCTGTCTGTGTGGTTAGTTTGGGCTGTTTTTAGATTCTTAAATGGTGCTGCTTAATATTGTTTGTAAGGTTATTTTTACGGGTTTTTTTTGGGGGGGGGGGGGGGCAGAGATGCTGTGGCAAATAAACTTTGAGTTGTGGAAAAAAAAAAAAACTCTCCCACAGGCTATTTATGTCACCGAAATTGCAGAGGCAAAATATGTGTGGAGTGCATCTTCCTTCTCTAACTTATGGAAACAAGCACACTACATCTTTGTTGCTTTGAACATATATGCTTGAAAGATTAGCTGCTAAAACAAAAACAACCTACTTTTTCACCTTTCACTCATCTATCCTTTTTATTCGTTCATGATTTTGTTAATTTTTTTTTTCAAGTTGCATGTGTCTAATCCGTGTACTTAAGATTCGTGCATTCAACTCCCGCAGCAACGCGCGGGCATTTTTGCTAGTACTATCTAGAAGCATTCGGAGCAAGTCACTTGATAAAGTGTCTCTAATTAACTTTTTCTTATGTCCGCAAGAAGCACACAAGAATCTTTAACCTTATGATCCGTTTTTGAGAACTTTCATAAAAAGAGTTTGGACTAAGTTTATTTTAATAAAAAACACTATGCTATAACTTTATTTAATGAATAAGACTTAAATTTTAATAAAAATAACAAAAAAAACTTAAATTTTAATGAAAAAGACATAATTTTAATATTAAAAAATATTTTAAAAAAATCTGACACGCGGACCTAAGCATTCTCACACAAACTGTTTATAAAACTTAACGCTATTACACTGTTTATGAAACTTACGATATTGTTTATGAAACTTACTAAAATTCATGAAACTTATTATACTGTTTATGAAATTTAACGGTACTACACTATTTATAAAAGTTAACGGTGCTACACTGTTTATGAAACTTAACAGTACTACATTGTTTATGAAACTTAACAATACTTTGGCCCGCAGCCATAGGAAAGGTCCACGGTTCTTTGGCCCGCGCCAGTAAGGTGAGAGGCTCGACAGGCAAAGTGGTCAAGCAGGATAAGAAGAAGCAGCCCCAGGGCCGCGCCCACAAACGCTTGCAATACAACCATAGATCCGTCACCCCCGTAATCGGCATCGGAAAGAAGAGGGGACCCAACTCGTCTAAGAAGTAGGGCAAAGATTCAAGCTTTGAAAGGATGAGAAGTTCTTCCGAGATTAAGAAAAATTAAAGGCTTTATTTTTGTTTAATCGTCACTCTTTGTTCTTAAGACCTTAACACTGGTTGTTAGTTCATAGAAAGATATTTGGAAGCGTTGGATTAGGTTGGGATTTTTTTTATCTAATTTGAATTAGCAGCAATGCGATTTTGTTTTTGGTTTCTAAGAACATTAATGCAATTTTGTTTCTGGTTGCTGGTTTGTCAAAAAAATATGAAGCTGCAGAAGATTGAGGTGGTGCACGCGTTTATACTTAGAATGTTATTTGTTTTTATTTTTTTTGTTTTTCTATTCTTATCATTAAATAAAGTTATTAAGTGGCTTTTGGATAAAATTCAAAATTTTGAAGCTATTTTCATTAATTTTTCATTTATTTTTTATTATAGACAAATCTCTTGATAAGGTTAAATCTAAGACCAAGATCATTTGATTCATTGCACACCAATTGTATCAAATTTTTTTTTTATCAAACAATGTGTTCAATAAACCATGTCAACAAGACACAAGAAACTCGGAAAACCCAACACGTAAAAAATAGGGAACATCCTAGTCCAAGTAAAGAACCGAGTAGAACTAGATAGGCTAAAAAAAACACTAACTAGTACAATTTTAATTATAAACAAGATGACGTTTTTCGGTTATTCCATTGTTTTATTTGCGAAACAGACTGTTTTAGTGCAATTGGGGGCAAAATTGTTGGAGATGTTTTTAAGATAAAAAAATCCAAAAAATCTGTTCACACTCTCGTGTGGGATGATGTCCAACTGCCCAAGCAAAAAATTTAAACCTAAATGACTAAAATACCCATGTCACATAACCACCTCACACAAGCCTCAAGGGGAAGAGGTCGCTGGTAAAACTTGTAATTATCTCTCATAGAAGGAGCATTATTGTAAATTGCTCAAACTCCAATTCGAGCGGGAAAATTGTATTCAGGAGAACTCAAGACAAACGCACCTTTAACAAACTTCTTCAGGTCGTCAGTGATTTTTCAAGAAACCATAGGCTTGGAGGAGAGAGAGAGCTAAAGATTAAAGCTTGAAGCTTGAAAGTGAAAACCATATCAAATTCAATCCCAATCCTTGAAGCCTGCAGGAAGAGGGAGCGAAGGCCAACGATTTTCGGATTGCATGTGTTCTGATATCCCGATTGCTTTATCAGTCCGAACGGTCCGTTTCTGCAAATTTATTTCGTATAATTTGATTGTTTCTTTGATTTCTGAATTGAGTTTCTGCAAATTTCTATTTAGGGTTGCTGATATTTCTTCAATCCCTTATTTCTTTCAAGTGGGTTTCTGCTAAAGAACTCGAATTTCTCCATAGCAGTGTATTTTTTTTTTTCTTTACTTTCTGAATTGGGTTTTTTTTTTCTTCAAATGAGGTTCTGATATAAGACTCGAATTTTTGTAATTTAATGTGATTGTTTCTTTGATTTCTCAACTGGGTTTATGGAAATTTTTTTGTTAGAACTAGTAATTGGACATTTTTGTTCCAAGAACTGCGTATCTTTAGTTTTGTTCCTCCTTTTTTCGAGTGGGATTTATGCTTGTTTTCGTGCTGGATTTGGTTGAAAAATTGGATGTTGGTTGATGCATGTAGTTATTGGATTCTGCCGAATCCAGAACCTGGAAAATTTCTAACCCTTTCCTTCTTGGAAAGGAGCCTAAGTTTGAAAATTGGTTTCCCACACTAGAAATAATTTGAAATTCTGCATTTCCATCCATGTTAATTAATTACATTTCTCTTTCCTAGAAACCACTGCCATGTCTCTTGATTTCTTTATCAAAGTAGAGTAATGTTTCGGTTAAAGTAAACATACTAGTAACTAAACAAACAACTTGCTACTTGGCTGACTTTTCTTAAACAAGAAGTCATGAAGACAACAATGTAGCTTTGTTCCTCGGTTTTTTTTTATTGGGGATTTCTGCTAATTTGATGTTGATTTGGGAATTGAATCTTGGCTGGATGTAGAAGTTGGATTCTGCAGAATGCAGAATCCGGATATTTTGTAACTCCCTTCTTGGAAAGGGACCAAAGTTAGAAAATTTGTTTCCGTATATGCCCTAGAAGCAATTCCTAATTCTGTCCTTCCTCCATGTTAATTGAGTTGCAATTTTCCTAGTAACCTATGCCGTGACTTATGGATTTCTAATACAAGTAGAGGTTTGTTACAGTTAATATAAGTCTAACTGAATGTACTAGTATGTAAACCAACAACTTTCCAATTATCTTTAACTGTTAACTGATGTTTGTGTTGCATTAGTAGTAGTTAAAATTCAGTCTCACCATAGATTTTACTTAATTTCCGATGTTTTGGATGCTAGTTCCCTTTATCTTCTCTCTAAGTCCGCTCTAAATTTTCAAATTAACTCCTAGGAAACTGACATGTAACACTACTTCAGTTCAGCATGTAAGTATTGATAGCAGGTGCCTTTGTGAAAGTTAGTTACTCGTATCTTCTCTCTAAATTTTCAAATTCTATACATTCTTGAAATTATCAAGTAGGTGTGTGATTGGTAGTTCTTCATCTGATAAATCATTCAATGAGTATAACCTCTGAACTTTTCTGTTAGTCATTAATCATAATGCCTCTGGTTCTACTTGTTTTAGGTGCTATGGATCTCGATTTGGAATTTTTTACCCTTTTGGCAGACCTCAAATCACGGAGGGACAAGCTCATTTTGATGGCAGGTCTTAATGGTTCTGGCAAAACCACCATCTTGAACAAGATTCACTCTGAAGGAGTCTCTACTGAGATAGTCACACCCGGTGAGCCCGTAGCCCCCTATCCTCTTTATGCCTACTTCTGAATTCTTATGCATTTTGTGCCTATTGTTTACTGTTGCAGGATTTAGTGTTGAGACGGTGAAACATGCCTATATTAACATTGCAGCGTTTGATGTTGGGAGTGAAAACAGGGTAGCTCCTCTCTCTTATCTTGTACTATTTTTGAATGATTTCTTACAAGGCCGTGAAGTGGGTAAACATATGGTTTTTGTAATGTGTATCATGATTTTTTAATTTCAGAAGATCTACTTTTTCATAGGCAGTGACTGTTTTTAGATATTCCCAATACAGATACCTCCACTGTACATGCAGCATTTCCAGAACAAGAAAGGTCTTATTTTTGTGGTAGATAGCAACGACCAGAACCGAGTGTTGGAGGCAAGGGATGAGTTACACAGGATGTTGCAGGAGGTAGTTTCATGATTTCCATGAATAATTGTTTGGAAATATAAAATATTTGAGTTATGTTTTTTTATAACGATGAATTGAATTTGGCTGCAGGATGAACTCAAGAACGTTGTTGTGCTTGTACTAGCCAACAAGCAAGATCTTTGTAATGCAATGACTGCAGAAGAGTTGAGCAAAGAGCTGGATATTAAGTCTCTCAGAATTAATCAGTGGTAAACTATTTTATCATTCAATGGCGTTTTAGGATTCATATAGCCGACCCCACTTAGTGGGAAAAGGCTTTGTTGTTGTTGTCATGTAAAAATTACGATTTGCAGATAATAAAGTATGTCATAAACTATAACTGCTGTCAATGTAATTTTCAGGCATATTTCTAGTACTAGTGCAATCAGTGGGGATGGCTTGCTTGAGGCTTTGCGTAAATTTTTTTGGGCCATTGATTCCATGGTAATTGCCTAGAATTTGCTTACGATAAGAAAACTAATTAACTCTTGTTATTAGTTTGTGGATTGGTTTATTATGTTGCAACATTTCTGTGTCCTTAAAAACAGGCATAATTCATGAACATTGAACAGATTGCATTTCGTGTTTTCTTACCTATATTATTCCTCTTCATTGGCAGGTCCCTCATGTGCATGTGTTAATTTGTGTTGATAAAGATAAGGATATACGCTGCAGTGGTGAAGAAATAGGTAAAGACGAAGATGAACATAAAGACTTTCAGTCTACTATCCAGGAGGTCTTTACTCAAAATGATTGGGTGCCGACTCCATCCGCGGTTAATCCTGAATTTCACTTCACTTGTGTGAGTCGACTGGATTATATCATGGACTGTGTTCAGGAGGCTTGTAGCTGCGGTCTGCCGGTTGACTTGATGGTATTGGACTATGAATATATCATGGAAATGGGGCAAGATGCGTTCAAGGTACCTGAAACCTCTCAATGTAACCGAAATTTCATTGTTGATGTTTATTTTGCTTAAATATTTGACAGGCAATGAAAGATGAATGGCATAGAGCTGAGTTTGACGGGCATGTTATAGGCGTGACTTCTAGAAATGAGAATATAGACCATCAGCGGATTGTTCCAATGCCCGGAGTGCTACTTAATTTACACTTCAGTGTGTTCAGCAATAAGGAGAGGGTTTCTGTCATATTCGGACATATTTTTGGCAACAGATACTTAAGTCGAGCCTCAAGGTTCAGCAGGCAAGCTGCCTTCCATTGTTAGTCTGTTTTGCTGATTGCTTATTGTTAGCTTATGTTTGCAAGTTCTGACAATAATGTGCTCTTTTGATTATTTGTAGGGTCATGTAGCGATGAATGATATAAGAGGCATTGAACTGTACTGTAAATACACAGATTGCCACACAGATTGCGGAATACCAGTGAAGGTTGCGGGTTTTGTTGAGGTCCATTGAGTGATAGCAGCACTGTTATATATATACAGATGACCGCACTGATATACATATTACATATACAGAATTGAGTAAATACATATACACAGGACCGCACTGTTATACATATACCACCTAGCAACATTATTATCTAGATACCCTTATGAATTTGTTGGGGATCTCACTAATACCACTTAATAGCTCATGTAAGAAGTGTCTATCGCTCTGCTATGAATGAAATAGCTCGGTTTTCTGCTTATCTCTCTCTCTCTCTCTCTCTCTCTCTCTCTAAAATATGCATGGGTTTACTGCCCCTTATGGCGAAATGGATCTTTTCCATCACAGATCTTCTCAGTAACGTACCCTCGTCCCACCCATAAACATATGCATCCTGAGGCAAATACATAGTAGCTAACACAAGTGTTAACACTCCAGTTAGTGATAATCCATGCTAGCACCAGTGACTTAGGTGGGGCTTTTGGCCTCCAACATCCATCTCCTCCTATCCGCCCTAGACGAGACCAGCACTACACCCATTAATCAAGTTAATAAGGACAATAGCTCCTGAACATCCAGAGCATTCAAATTCCAATGAAACCCAAAATTCTCGCTCAAAGGAAGATGACAGGAACTAAAGCACGCCTATCATGGAAAAGAAATGAGAGTAATGATCTGTGCAGTCTAGGAGAAGAAATGCATATGCAGAGAAAGAATTATCTCTAAAATACAAAAGCAAACCCTCTCACAGAGATAATCACTTCTCAACTCATTGTATTAGATTCCACCGAAATAACCCAGATAATAGACATCACACAACTTCTCAATACCATACCCTCCTCCCACCCAAAAACATATGCTATGTCTAGTACAAAAACAGATGGTTAACGCTAACACAAGTGTTAACACTCCAGTGAGTAGTAAACCACGCTAACACCTGTGCCTTAGGCAATACTTTCGGCCTCCAACATCCATCTCCCCCTATCCACCCTGTACAAGACCAGCACTACACCCATTAACCAAGTTAATAAGGACAATAGCTCCCGAACATCCAGAGCATTAAAATTCCTATGAAACCCAAAATTCTCGCTCAAAGGATGATGACAGGAACTAAAGTACATGAAAAAGATTTGAGAATGATGATCTGTACAGTCTAGGAAAAGAAAGGCATATGCATTAAACCCCGCTCACCACTCTTATGAAAACCTCACCCTTTCCCCATTACCCACCAAAACTGGAAGCAAGAATAAAACAAATTAACGCCTTGAATAATGTCTTCCCATGAGCTTTTCTGGAGCCTAGTGACAATATTTAAGTCCCAAACATCTACATGCAGCCCATACTGAAGTCCCCAAAGAGTTGAGGCCCCTTTGTTTGAGATGTTTATCCTTAATTTTTCACCTTCTCATTCACACTTCACAACAATTAAGCTTTTGGGCCCAACCCCTCCATTGAGCCTCTCACATTTGGAGAGCCCCAATCTTCTTCTGGAACCCACTGTTTTATAAGGTTTTCAAAGTAGTACGGTCTAGTGGTAAGCCCATTGTGAGGCTTAGCCCACTCTCCCACCCCCTTAGTGTAGATAGTATCGTTTGTTCATAAAATAAAATAAAAAAGGTGAAGGATGAGGGAAGCAAGCAAGTGAAGTTTGACCTGTCAACTTGCAGATGAATAAAACAAACGATCCAATTAACAAGAATAAAAGAAATAATTAATGATTCATCAATTATCAGAACTGTTTTATCTCAGCTACCTTGGCACTTGAATTTATGCATATTTAAGAAATTAAAAATGACTAATATCAGCCCTTACATCATACGTTAAAAATCTTAGTCTATGCAAGTTGTAAGTTTTGAAGTTTAGTGTAAGCATCATTGGCATATATTAGTCTCAGAGATAACAATCATCAAAAGTAGTCTACTAAAATCTACCTCATTTAATCGTGGGACGATGCGCAAGACCTCTGGACCTCGGCTATCAATTCGAATGTTGGATCCAACAGCATCAGTAACATCAATGGTCTCTGTTCCCTTTAATTCCCAATTTCGAGCTTTAAATGCAAACGGTTTTGAGGTTAGGGCTCCCACTGGACAGATATCTATCACATTTCCGGAAAGCTCACTTGTCATAAGTTTTTCGACATAAGTCCCAATTTCCTCTCCGCTGCCACGACCTAACATGCCAAGGTCCTGAACCCCCGCAACCTCAGTTGCAAATCTGACACACCTGTTCAACCAAACGCGCTTTCTATATCAGAAGCTTGCAACTACAATTAAAACAAGAGCTCTATCCAAGCCGATGAATGATGCAACTGTTTTCTGATATATCAAAAATTTATTTTAAGAAGGTGATAAACTTAAACCCTAACAACAATGTGATGTACGTTGTTAATTTGAAAACTTACTCTACCTAGAGAAAACATCATGGACTACATGATTTGCGAATGTCATAACTCGCTGTCGAATGCAATACACTAGGGATAGACTTACAACTCTTAACAGATTGTGTACATTTAAAGGTAAAACTGGGACAATATTTAGCATCACTAAAAATACACTAACACCAAACAACAAATAGATCAATCATTCAGTAACTCACTGTTAAATGCAATAGACTAGGGGTAGACTAACAACTCTTACAGATTGTGTACTTTTAGAGGTAAAACTGAGACAATATTTAGCATCACTAAAAATACACTAACACCAAACAACAAATAGATCAATCATTCAGTAACTCACTGTCGAACGCAAACCACTAGGGATAGACTACCAACACTAGAGATTGTGTACTTTTAGAGGTAAAACTGCGACAATATGTAGCATCACTAAAAAAATGAAAAATACACTAACACCAAACAAGAAATAGATCAATCATTCAGTAAATAGTTTCTCATGCTTCAAAACAAGGCATGAAGGGATAAAATGTGTATTTTTTTAGAATAAAAAAGATTACACTAGAAGAAATTTTACCAAAAAATCATACAGTTCACTAGAACTGTAGTGAATATGTGGTGTATAAGAAGAGGCAATGCTGGATTCTGACCTTGTACATTGAATACACCGAGTCATTACAGTCCTCACCAAAGGACCAAGATTCTTATCAACTACGGATCTCTTCACCTCAGTAAAACGGCCGCGATCAGATCCAAATGCCATAGACTGATCCTGCAGATCACATTCTCCTCCCTGATCGCAAATTGGACAATCCAAGGGATGATTCATCAGCAGAAACTCCATCACCCCTTCTCGAGCCTTCTTTGCTATTGGTGTATCGGTCTTAATTTTCATGCCTAAGAAGAAACTTTTGTCAAAAAATCACAACTTTATGCACAAAAAGATAAAGTAAAATTTAATTCTACTGTAACCACAACCAAATTATGCCATAGCCAAACAATGTATTGCTCAATTAACAAAATATCATATCAAAATCAAAATGTTACTGTGAATCCAAAAACAATAATCAGAACCTCGCAAAATTGTAGCTTAGGTTCCGAAATATCAAATTCAAAACCCATACGGTTGTCAACGAATTAATGTGGCGTAATACATTTAACATAAGTATATATAACTATAATATATCGAATTATGACGATGACGATGGACAGCAACAGAGCTCTCATATCAAATCACCAACGTTCATCGGCATTTCGTCAATCTGGGTACTGTAGTACTGCTCGATGTCTCTTAAGATCTTGATATCATTGGTTCTGACAAAGTTTATGGCCACACCCTGCAAAGAATAATCAAATTGTAGCATATTATGATGAGAACCTGAAAAACATAACTTAACGAAACGAAGACTAAAAGAATATGTTTTGGCATACATACTGCGATAACAAGCACAGATACAATATGAGATCTATCGACAAAAACATATGACATAATAAAAATTAAAAGTACATGCACACATACCTTGCGCCCAAAACGACCAGAACGACCAATCCGATGAATGTATAACTCTCGATTGTTTGGAAGATCATAGTTGATAACCAAGGAAACCTGATGAAGGGGAAAACATCAACATATTAGAAAAAGCTGTTCATCCAAAACATGTATGTATAACATATATATTCACAGTCACACATAGCACAAGCTCCCCTAAAATTCATAGGAACTTGTCTGTCAAGGTATTAAAAGAAATTAGATCAACTTACCTGCTGAACATCGAGGCCCCGAGCCCAAACATCAGTGGTGATCAGGACACGAGTATTTCCTGCACGAAACTCTTGGGTAATGACATCTCTTTCCTTTTGAGGCATGTCTGCATGCATGGAAGATACAGTAAAGTTATTACTCCTCCGCATCTTTTCTGTCAGCCAATCCACCTTTCGCTTTGTGTTGCAGAAAATAACAGCTTGTGTAATTGTAAGAGTGTCATAGAGATCGCACAGCGTATCAAATTTCCATTCTTCTCTTTCAACCGAAACGAAAAATTGCTTGATTCCCTCCAAAGTCAACTCATCACGCTTGACAAGGATCCTTACAGGGTCCGTCATAAACTTGCTCGTCATCTCCAGGATTTCATGAGGAAGCGTAGCGGAAATTAAGCAGACTTGTAGTTCAGGTGGAAGATATCTATAGACATTGTAAATCTGATCCTTGAATGATCTGCTTAACATTTCATCAGATTCGTCGAGGAATAGTAATTTAATGGCTCGAGTACGCAGACTTCTCCTCTTGATCATGTCATGGACTCTACCTGGAGTTCCACACACCACATGAACTCCGTGCTCAAGCTTTCGAATATCCTCAGCCACGCTTTTGCCTCCGATGCAAGCATGCGCTTGTATGTTCATGTGATTTCCAATTGCTAATATCACCTTCTCCGTCTGTGCCGCCAGTTCCCTAGTGGGACACAATATCAAAGCCTGAACCTCTCGGCAGGAGGTGTCGACGAGTTGGCAAGCGGTAAGGGCAATCATGGAGGTTTTGCCGGTACCTGACTGGGACTGGGCTATGACATCATAACCCTCGATAATGCGCCTGACCGCCCGTTGCTGGATGGCGGAGGGCTTTTCGTACCCATATTCGTAGATGCCTTGGAGCACATCATCCTTCAACCCCATCTCATCGAAGCTCATGATCGCCTCTATCCCATCAGAAGTCGCGAATGGCGCCATGTCCTTGTTCTGAAAGATGATGAACCAAACCCACAACAACAATCTGGGAAAGTATAAGAATCCACCAGAAAACTTCTTCAAATTAAAAGTCGAGGATTATAGCAACATCTATCTGCTTATATAGAGAACAGAAAACCCTAACCCTAATATAAGTCCTTACCCAACCATGTTTCGGAATTCGGATATCCTAACCCCAGAAATCTAGGAAACCCAAACCGTATTGGACTTTTATTCTCTCTTCTGTGAAGGGTATTGAGAAAGTATGATACACTGCAATATTATATAGTTCATAATCCTAATGCTGCTCTAATATGTTAATTAGTCAGGATTGCCCACGGAAAGGCCGGGATTTATTCAAAATTGTCAATGTGAAATAGCTCGAACAATGTGTTAGAAAATTAAAAATCTTACGTGTTGGGGATTTCGAGTTTTTGTCATTTTTTTGTATACTATCACAAGTTCTCCAGGTCGGAGTAGATAAAAGTTATGTTTAGGATTTAATCTCTATTCTATATTCTTCTCACTCCAGGAGGAAACATATAAATACATACGCCGCACATCTTGCAGCACAAGGAAAGTAAATGAATCCTAGACTAACTTGGAAACACAATCAAATAATTATATTTATATTCACATTCCTATTCGAATAGGGACTCAAGTCAAAATTCCCCTTCAAGTTGGTGCGTATATATCTCCTAGCCCCAACTTGTCAAGTGAGTCCTGAAACCTCCCAGCAGAGACCACATGAGTTAGAATATCTGCTAACTGTTCTTCCATTCTAACAAACGGAATATCGACGAGCTTAACATCTAACTTCTCCCTTATGAAGTGCCTATCCACCTCAACATGCTTGGTTCTATCATGTTGTACTGGATTGTTAGCTATCTCTCGTGCTGCTTGATTATCACAATACAGCATCATAGATTCCTTGGGCTTGAATCCTATCTCAGTGAGTAAACCGAAGCCATAAAAGCTCACAAATACTGTGAGCCATTCCCTTGTATTTTGCCTCTGCTGATGACCTCGCCACGACACTCTGTTTTTTACTTCTCCAGGTCACAAGATTACCAGCAACAAACGTGAAATAACCTGATGTAGATCGCCTATCAATAATATTCCCGGCCCAATCAGCATCCGTATACCCTTTTACCTCCATGTGCCCATGCTTCTTGAACATCAAACCTTTTCCAGGAGCCCCTTTCAAATAACTAAGTATCCGCATTACCGCCGTCATGTGATCCTCACTTGGTGCATGCATGAACTGACTTACCACACTTAACGCATACGCAATATCAGGTCTCGTAAGTGATAAGTAAATCAGTTTCCCAACTAACCTTTGATACCTCTCTTTATTCGTCAGAACTTTATCTTGATAAATTGCTAGGTGATGATTTTGCACAATCGGAGTGTCCACTAGTTTACATGCCAACATACCAGTTTCTGACAATAAATCCAACACATACTTACGTTGTGACAAGTATATTTCTTCTTGAGACCTAGCAACTTCTATTCCCAAAAAATACTTAAGACTTCCTAGATCTTTCGTCTCGAACTTAGAGGACAAGTACCCCTGCAACTGTTCAATCTCTATTGTATCATCACTTGTGACAATCATATCATCCACATAAATAATGAGCAAAGTCACCTTACCACCTTTATGCTTGATGAATAAGGTATGATTTGAGTTCCCTTGACGATATCCATACTTCTTCATAGCCTTAGTGAATCGCCCAAACCACGCTCTTGGTGACTGTTTCAAACCGTATAATGCCTTCTGAAGTCTACATACCTTACCATTGGAGTTTTCAATGCCATAACCTAGTGGAAAATCCATGTATCCCTCTTCCTCTAAATCCCCATGCAGAAACTCATTTTTTACATCAAACTGTCTCAGAGGCCAATCAAGATTGGCAGCAAGAGATAATATAACTCTAATGGTATTCATCTTAGCCACCGGAGCAAAAGTTTCTTGATAATCAACATCAAAGGTTTAAGTATACCCTTTAGCTACTAACTTTGCCTTATATCTGTCAATCGTTACGTCCGCCTTATGTTTGATGGTGAACACCCATTTGCACCCACCAGTTTTTTTTCCTTGGGAAGTGTAACCACACGCCAAGTCTTATTCTTCTGCAATGCCTCAATCTCAACTTGCATTGCCTCTGTCCACTTTGGGTTTCTCAAGGCTTCTTCTACTTTGGTAGGTATTTTAATAGTTTCCATTCGTTGAACTAGCACACAGTACTTTGGTGAGAGTCGGTGAGTGGAAACATAGTTAGCGATTGAATATCGCACATTCCCTTCTAGAGAGTACATGTCTGGTGGTTTTCCTCGATTTTGTCTAAGAGGCAACATATAAATTTGTTTATTAGATTTTGAATCAGTACTTACCTCAAGAGGGATATCCGTATGACCAAGGGTATGTACTCGAGATGTTAAAGATGAGTTGTTGTTGTACTCACAAGAATTCACAGCCAAGCCTTAAACTTCAATCGGCCATGAGACAACAGTTGTTGTTGTCTTAGCCTGGTTGTTCTTGTTGCAACACCTAAAAACATCATGCCCATCTGGGCTTTATGAGCTGTTGTCCATTTCAGCAGCATCTGCTTCATTGCCGTGCCCATTGGGGGCTTGTTGGTTACCGTGCCCACTTGGGCCTTCTTCGTCAACAATTATTCTTCTTTAGGTGCTACTACATGCAGAGTCTCGATCACGTGGACTGCTGCCACCTGCAGCACAATCACCATGGCTTGCTATGTTGCTGCCATTATTCGGGCTACCTTATGTGGGCCCAAATACAACAAGGTCGGGGACATCCACCCATCCATAATCTTCTATTCCGGTTGTCTCCCCCTGAAGAGAATGGTTGGGAGGAAAAAATGGCCCATCTTTGGAGAATGTCACGTCTATAGTTACGTATACATGTCGAGTATGGGGATGATAACATCTATACCCCTTCTGTTGAGGATTAAAGCCAATAAAAACACATCGCACTGCACATGGATCAAGCTTGCTCCATAGATTTTTATGAAGATGGACATAAGCCACACACCCAAAAACTCGCGGCTTGAGATGAATGGTGGAAGGAAGAGAGACATGATCAGCAAGCATAGCTAAGGGAGTTCAAAAAGAGAGAACATGGGATGGCATTCGGTTCATGAGATAAATGACATAAGTTACCATGTCGGTCCAGTTAGTCTTAGGTGCACCTACACCAATGAGAAGGGCACGGGTAATTTCAAGTATGTGTCGATTCTTATGTTCAGCAACTCCATTTTGTTGTGGGGTCTAGGGGCAAGTAGTTTCATGGAGAATACCTTTTTCTTTACAAAACTGAGACAGATCATGATTAAGATATTCACCACCATTGTCAAACCGAAGTACTTTAACTGAGAGCGAATATTGAGTGTAAATCATGTGATAAAACATTTTGAAGATGTCACCCACATCACTTTTATTTTTCATGAGATACAACCAAGTCATCCTGGTGTAGTCATCAACGAATGTTACAAACCAACGCACTCCATGTTGAGTAGTAACCGGAGATGGTCCCCACACATCATAATGAACTAACTCAAAAGAAACTATTCGTGTAGTAAAACTTGGATAATATGAAGCACGATGACTTTTAGCTAATGTGCAAACATTACATTGTAGTGAATAATCTAAAATATTACGAAACAATGACGGAATTAATTTTCATAAATAACCAAAGGAAGCATGACCAAGACGACGATGCCACAACTGAACAGTCTTCAACTTCCCACTATTACGACCTTGAACTTGATGAACACGACCTTGTGCAACATCGCCAACATAGTACAACCCCTTCCTCTTAGTACCACGCCCAATGATTGCCTGAGTTTTAATATCTTTAAGTAAACAAAAAGACGAAAACATTAGCACAACGTAGTCTAATTGCTTAGTGACCTGTCCCATTGATAACAAATGGCTAGAGAGTGTGGAAACAAGTGCACATTTATGTAATGAGATAGTAAGAGTGAGTGCTACCGAACCCGCCCCTGTAACCTGGGCAATACCTTCATTAGCAGTGACAATACTATCCCGTGGTGGTGTTGTTGTAGAATTAAATAAATTACGATCATAAGCCATATGATCAGTGGCTCCAGAATCAATGATCCAACCTATATCGAGATCAACAGATGTAATCAAAGCTGTGCTTATGTTACCTGGATCATCAGATTGCTCTTGAGAAGTAATCAAATTTAGTAGACGTAGTTGTGGGCCCAAATTGTCTAAGTCCAGGTTCCAATCTTTTGGAATGGTTACTGGTGAAGTGAGCGGGCCCATGCCCACTCTGTCAACATCCTCATCACATGCACCTGTTCTCGGTCTATTTGGAGTTTGGGCTTGAGACATGGCAAGCCCATTATCGGGCATACTTGAAGTTAGCTCTGTAAGCCCAGGGTCTGTGTCAGGATTTTTGGCCTGCACAGCGTCTGCAATTTTGGCGGAAGCTTCATTTGAGGCATGAAGGGCACTCACGATAGAGAACATAGCATGGCTTTCAACCATTTGAAATAGCGGCTTGATGATTGTACTATTTAGGTTTTGTAGGATTTATGATTCTCTTGTCTCGAGATCACATCTTAATTTTTTTTTCCTTTTTCTGCAGATTGGTATTAAAGCCAACAAGAACCTCCAATGTCGGCAGTTCTTTGTTCCTGATTTGAAGTTTATAGGAAAATCTCTTGCCTCGAGACTTTCAAAAAAGTGTAGTCAGTCATGGTTTTGGTTTTCTCACAGTTGGTAATTTATGGGGAGCAAGTTGAGGAACTCTCGGCTTTCTGTAGTCAGCGAAGCAGCTAGCAAAGAATTTGTTCATGCTGGCGATTTGGGGTTTAAGGAAAAGACAGGCCAAAACCTGCTCTGATACCAAGATAAAAGTTATGTTTAGGATTTAATCTCTATTCTATATTCTTCTCACTCCAGGAGGAAACATATAAATACATACGCCGCACATCTTGCAGCACAAGGAAAGTTAATGAATCCTAGACTAACCAGGAAACACAATCAAATAATTATATTATATTCACATTCCTATTCAAATAGGGACTCAAGTCAACAGGAGTAACATCATGATGGTCCTAAATAATATTGGTTTGTGCATTTGAGCCCTCCCTGTCACGCCTACTAGATCCCTCACACAGCATACAGAATGCGAAAATATCTTCCAAAACAAAAGTGATCATTAAAATTAAGCTTTGATTCCTT